TTTTAAATTTTTTCTAGCTCCATGGAGCTACCTCCATGGAGGCGATTAGTGCAGACCTGAGGCTGAATTTCTGTACCTCCATGGAGCTAGCTCCACGCACTATGAATACAGTTACTTGGTTCACGTCACCTTAAAAAATTGCTCCTTAGAAATAAAAGGAAAAATCACACTCCAGAATATATACATCTTATATTTGCATTTGCAAATCTTGGATGGGATAGAGTGTTTTGGTTTGACGGCTTGCCTCGCACCCTGTGAATGAAACATTAGTGCAGCCCTTCTGGCTTCTCCGACTTGTATTTACTGGCTCCATGGAGCTAGCTCTACGCACTATGAAAACATAATGCATGGGTCACGTCACCTTCAAGAAAATACCGCAATCTAGAATAGCTTGGCTTAGCTTAAATCGGTTAATATGCATTTGTAAATCTTGGATGATAGGGTTTGGGTTTACGGCCCCACTCACTGTATTGCTATTTGTGAACGATACACTCAGTGCAGCTCTTTCGACTTCTCATTTTCGGCGCATTGATCGACTATATACTGAAGTGTTTTGAAAGTGACGCGAACCATGTGTTTGCATTCATACTGCGTGGGGGCGCCCAAACTTGTCACCTTCACGAAATAGATACTATGAATGCATATACATGGTTAAGAGCAAAAAGTTACAGCTCTATGGATGACATCTAAAGAGCGAGAAACAGTGTTTTGTGACTCCTTGTAGTATGAAAGCCTAGTACTAGTAGTAGAGAGAATTGGTCCGGACTGATCCTTTTGTATTGATCGACCGACCGTTGATATCCTATCCTAAAATGTTTTGAAGGATACGTAAACCATGTGTTTGTGTTCATACCGCTGTGTACATGTGTTAATGTGTTTTGGGACTGCCCAAACATGTCTCAGTGTCGTACTCCCCAAGCAGAGGTTGTTGGGGAAAATTGTGACATAATTTCTTTATCATGCGCCCGGTTTTTGTCCGCCTTTCCCAACAACAACCTCAACAGCAGGGTTTTTTGCTTCAATATGCTATGATCTGTTATCTGATCTCATAGATCTAGGCCATGCATAGATGAACACTGCCATTGTTCGCAGGCTACTGGACTGAGGAATGCATGAAATCACACATCTGTGCCAATCGTCAAAGGTGACAAGTTTGGGCGCCCCCACGCAGTATGAATGCAAACACATGGTTCGCGTCACTTTCAAAACACTTCAGTATAGTACAGTCAATCAACGCGCCGAAAACGAGAAGTCCGAAGATCTCGGAAGAGCTGCACTGAGTGTATCATTCACATACAGCAATACAGTGAGTGGGGCCGTAAACCCAAACCCTATCATCCAAGATTTACAAATGCATATTAACCGATTTAAGCCAAGCTATTCTTGAGTGCGGTATTTTCTTGAAGGTGACGTGACCCATGTATATGTTTTCATAGTGCGTAGAGCTAGCTCCATGGAGCCAGTAAATATACTAGTAGTCGGAGAAACCAGAAGGGCTGCACTGTGAGTGTGTCATTCACAAACCAAAACACTCTATCCCATCCAAGATTTGCAAATGCAAATATACCATGTATATATTCTGGAATGTTTCCTTTTATTTCCAAGGAGCAATTTTTTTAAAGGTGACGTGAACCGCGTATATGTATTTTTCTTGAATATGACGTGAACCATGTAACTGTATTCATAGTGCGTGGAGCTAGCTCCATGGAGGTACAGAAATTCAGCCTCAGATCTGCACTAATCGCCCCATGGAGCTAAAAATTTCAAAAATTAAAGGAATTTCAAAAATTTCAAAAAAATTGAACATTTTGAAAAGTTTGAAATTTTGGAAAATTTCGATAATTTAAAAAAAATTAAAAATTTGAAAAAAATGCCGCAGGTCTGCACTAATTACCTCCATGGAGCTACCTCCATGGAGCTACCTCCATGGAGGTAGAAAATTTCAGCCGCAGGTCTGCACTAATGACCTCCATGGAGGTACCTCCATGGAGGTAGAAAATTTCAGCCGCAGGTCTGCACTAATGACCTCCATGGAGCTACCTCCATGGAGCTACCTCCATGGAGGTAATTAGTGCAGACCCCTCTCGTAATATCAAGTCTTAAAACATTTAAAACAGAATTTGGCTTGGCAAGGTTGCAGGGTTTATCTGAAGTTTCTGGGTCCAGCGGAATTTTTAACAATAGTGCCACGTCAACAAATAAAACTGTCATGGCGCAGCACACCTATCACCCTCGTTAGACTCACCTGTTCCCCAAGCATATATTAGTATAGATAATTACTAAATGTTTTCTAATGTGGAGACTTTTCTGACGGCTATTTGCCATTGCCAACAGTCCAAAACTGCAAATCTTCCCCCGTCACATCTACGTGGAGAATTAAAATCTCATTGCCAACCTAGCTTATGGGCACAGGCCAGTGACAAACTGCCTACAAGAAATTTTACCTTAATTGTTTATCCACTCGCACAAACATACCTTACAAGTGGGTCAAAATAGCTTTAGTTGTTACTTCTTGACAGGAACTCGGGCACAGGTTGCCGTTGTTCTTTTAGGGTGTGTCTGCTTTGGTAGCTGATCCGTAATGCCGTGTGACAACCCAGGATTGGTCACACGGTGGAAAGCTGGCTATTTAAACATTACATTAACATTTACGACATGACGATGCATGTATGAAAAATAAAAGCAAACAAAAGGTGGCACACGAGCGTCTGGCTTTAGCTAGCTTTTAAAAAAACGCACTGCAGATTAGAAATACGGTGTGTGAAAAGAAACAAAAGGTCGCATACTGAATTTAAAGTAAATGACGAAAATTGTAGCTACACAACAAAGGTAATAATAACTATGTATACTACAGAAGCCCTATAACACGTCTTTTGATTGGGTTTGAATATTATGTAGTAATCATTTTCTTTGTTTATTTCTGTATTAAATCATTTTATCGCGTGACAATAACAGTGCAATTTTATGATCATTTTAATGTTGTAAAATTAAATAGGTCTAAAATTGACTAAAATCAGATCGCAATCATGACGCAATCTATTACAAGCATACAAAAAAATCAAAACTAATCTATGTAATATTTTCTAAGATTAACTGAGATTTTAATTATGTTCTGTAACGAAACTATATCTTCGTTTGTTTAGAAGAATGACTTGCATTCACTGTACATTTATGGCCCATTTCTTTAATTGAAATTTGTAGGTATTGGTCTAGGGCACATGCAAAATGACAAGCATATTACCTTCTGTATGATAACATAAACGCTACGATCAATGATTTCCTATTTTACGGAAAGAGGTTCTTAAAGTAAATCTAGCACTTTTATAATACGACAAGAAATGTAATAGAGGTGCCAAAAATGTTGCAGCAAAAACGTTATCAATCGCTGTTTAAAAGATGCATTTTCTCATTACCTGATGAAGCCCAGTCGAAGCATCAGCTAGAGCTCACTACTGTAGCGACCATCCCTGTCGTCATTTTTAAACAGAGCAGCAGCAACTCCACACAAACTGTTGTTGTCGAAAACCTTTTCCAAGCCCAGATGTCTGGAGCATGTTTTGGAATATTCCATTTCGTGTCTTTGTGTGAAACATGTTTCAGAATAAACATGTTTCACACAATGTGGGGTCGTGTGGCGCAGCGGTAGCGCTTTCGGCTCAGGACCTATAGGCCCTGGATTCGATCCCCACCCATGTCACCGATCTTGTGCCCTTGGGAAAGGCACTTTACACGACTTTCCTCACTTCACTCAGGTGTAAATGAGTACCTAGCCTCGGTTAGGGACGTCCCTCAGATAGGACGTTAAATGGAGGTCCCGTGTTTGGGGAGTAAAAGAAACGTAAAAGAACCCACCACACCTTTCGAAAAAGAGTAGGGGCATGCCCCGGTGTGCGATGGTACAGAATTCTACTGTCTGGGAGTTGGTGATTCACTACAAATCACCCGGATGGAGGCTTGGCGAACCCCATCTCGTACTAGCCACAAAAGGCAGCAGAATCTTCAGCCAGTTGAAGGCGGCTGCCTCAAATGAAAGAAGAAGAAGAATATTCCATACCGTGCCTTCAGTATGAATAATTAATCACCACTCCTGCCAATCATTCGTGATTGACAGCGTGACCGGTACGGTTTTGGAACATTCCAAATCGTGGTCCAGCTGCGCCATGATTTGGAATACAACGTCAGGCATGTCAACTCTGATGGAGAAGATTAAGTCACAAACGTTAACGTAAGGCACGTCAGGATTACAAAATAACACCGAATTAATTTTATGGTTGGCATCCCTGGAGACGCCCAAACCAGTGCGCGCGGGTAAAAAAAAACAGTCAAAAAATGCTCCTTAACCACAGGGGTACAAAGCTTGCATTATGAATTTGCGCTTGCACATAGCGACTTTTACGACACGCCAATACATGCTAGCCTTGTGCAGCATTTATGAGTTGGCACTGTACTGAGTTCTGGAGTTGCGTGGAGCCTCTTTCAGTACTCTGAATGCCGTCCTCTGTAGTTACCACCGGCTCCCTATTGTCGCTTGCTACCATGGACTACAGAGGATGGCAACTAACATGAGCCCCGGAGGAGGTGCCTTTTTTTAGAACAGGCAAGAATCAATATGGCCTTAATTAGGCTGGGGAGGATTGGCAGATGTAGCGCCTTTTCTCTGTACAGTCAGCGTCGTCCCACATTGGATCGGTGGCACTTCCTGAGGTCAGGTACTGGACGCATAGCGAATCCCCTTTCCTTAGATATTTGATGTCAGCTGGTTTACCTGAGTGCCAACCCTAAAGGAGAGGACAACAACGTAAGGTACGTCATGATTTTAATATCTACCTAACTGAAGGAAATCAGTAACCAAAAAAGGGATCCTTAAATTGTATACGATGTGTACGTGGTACAATGTACCATGCCTCGTGCACGACTGCATTTGAAATCAGTAGAATTCAAATGTAACCAAGACAACAATATTAAGGGAAATAATAATGAGAAGATCGATAGGGGTGATGAAAACAGAATTCTAGATTAAAAAAAAGACCATAACATACTTACAACGCGAAATATCATACGCACAGCTACACTATAGAACAAAATTGCTAGATTATCCATTAATCTTTATCATTATTGTTCGAACCCCAAGATACTTATTAAATATCATTACGAGATACTCCGAGTTATGACCGGTTAAAAATCGGCAATTCCCATGTATGATGTATATGTACCTATGACATAACCTCTTCGACGAAAGTGATAAGAATGTGCAATAACCCAGATGAACGTTAATCGACTATAATTTGTTCTTGTCAACAGAACACGTACCTTGTACTGTCCCAGGGGTGAACCGTCTACCCACTTTAATTCATAACTATCGAACCAGATGCCAGTACAGATCACCCTCATCCCGATCCAATGTCCGGAGTTGCCTCCTGACGTTTCGACCAGGTTTCTTAGAGCGAGGTCCAATTCCTTCGTTTTAGGCATGGCTAGAGTCGCCCCTTCCTCTTTACATGCCTGCTCTGCGTCCGGAAATGACATTTTGGTGGAAACAAGTCGGATACAGGGCCACCCTACTCGTATGTAGCCATCCTGGCAGCCATCAGTTCGCACGTTCAAGGCAACTGATAGTGTATAAATGAAGAATAGGTAACTATTAGCCCACTACTCACAAAAAATCTTATAGCAAAATTCTCTTCTGTTCGTCGAAACATTTAAGTGACATGGGAAATTTTAGTTATAGACTAAAAATGAAAAGAGCCATTTCCCCAATACGCCTCAAAACACGATCAGCAAACATATAAGGAAGCTAGAAACTGATTCTTCTTGAGTATATGCATGAATTAGCTGTAGCCGTTGATACATGCTTATGTCATTATATTATATAGTAATGAAAGAAATGATCTTTTTTAGATATATTACAAGTACGTTCCCATACTTCCAATACTTGACTAATATTGAAAAATTATGTGCTTTGATCATCCCATCAAATTAAACTTAGCATCACAATGTCTTGAACATCACAAAGAAACGAGAAGAAGCCAAACCTTTGTATTAGTGTAGTTTTAGAGCTGTCTGTACTACATGTACAAACATGTATATTACCTTTTCATGTGTGCACCTGTACTTAGCCCGCTAGGGCATGAATGTACAATAAAGGTTATTATCATTATTATTATATTATATGACCCCAATCCTGTTCCTGTCATTGTTGGAAATATCTACCTGCAGTTTCGAAGAGGCCTAAGATGTGTTATTTGTTGTCCGTCCCTCAAAACGTACACACTATACTACTGCATAAAGTAAATGTAGCGAAGGCCTACCGGGAAATACTTGGACTTCACACAGGGTCAGTACCCGGAAACCGGGAAGACGGACGCCCACATACCGCCCCTTCATCCCCTGACATGACACCGAAATGGACGGCCGGTTCACGTCGATTTGATGATCACCACCACACCTGGGGTTGTCGCTGACCTGGTCGGAATCCCCGATGTGGATGTTGAAGGGGTTGAGCCGTTCTGGACAGCAGTCCATCCGGTTGAAGATGAGCACTCTGTAGATAATCAAACACAAATCAAACGACCAACCAACCTTAAAAGTGAATTATCGAATCATGCTGTAAGAACTATTATGCAGCAAGTTTTAACTGTAATTTCCAACACAAGAAATTGAACTCAAATTTTCGACTGTACAACTCCAGTCTTTGTCAAGGAATGAACAATCCACCGCTTCCGTGACGTCACGCAGATAACACCACGTGACTCCGTGAGCAGTGGATCATAGGTTGCAGAACGTCCGTGGCGCCCCCCGACTCTGTTGAGGGATGGTTGTAATGCCCTGATGTAGATGGCCTCTTTAATCCCTCGTGCAAAGAAATCCTGTTCTGAGTCCTTGACAAAGACTGGAGTTGTACAGTCGAAAATTTGTGGGTCAAATTTCTTGTGTTGGAAATTACCGTTTAAACTTGTTGCATAATGACTTCTACCAACACAGATGAACTTCCAAGATAATGCTGTAAGAACATTGTGTGTATGTATGTATGTATGTACGTACCTCTCAATCGCATACGGCTGGCCAAGATCCACCCACCAACTTGGATTAGCCTCTCCTGCAGTGTGTGTGCAGGACCTAAGGCGGTAGTCGGAGGCAGTGTTCCCGTCTACAGCACTCCTGGGATTCCCCAGGCTCCACCCATTACGGCTTGATTGAACCGCTGTTTTACCCAAGGCAATATTAACTCCTGCATCAGGCGGGAAGGCTGTCATTAGCAGTGTCATAGTTACATTCATTGGAACTTTTCATACTTCACTAAAGCTTACGTTTTCAATGCCTTTTGTACATGTTTGTGTTTGTGGACGGCATAATTTGAGAATTTATGGATGTATTCATAAGATATTTTAGGAGTATCGTAAAAAAGATGGTGACGTTTGATTTTGGATCTCCTAGCGGGGATGAAACACTATAGTGAAATCTTTAAATGTTTTCCTTTTAGGCCAACATGCATTCTAAACTACAATGTAGGAGCCACATGATGCAACGTTATAAGGGTGGGTAAATACAGAATAATGCAGAGCACAATTTATCTGGATGAAGGGCTTGGGTTTGTTTGTGTGTGTGTGTGTGTGTATGTATATGTGTGTGTGTGTGTGTGTGTGTGTGTGTGTGTGTGTGTGTGTGTTTGTGTGTATTTGATCACGCCGGCTAATGCAGGTAAAATAATTCGCCCGAGTGTAGAGTCGTACCTTCCTGCATCGTTGAGGGTCGTGGCTTTGTAGTCTTTTGAACCTGGCCAACGTTCCACATTATTTGGAAAAAAAAGAAGAAACACATAATTCTATTAAACCTTTTGAAGACATTACCAGAATAACGACGTTTCGAACTATCAAGAAGGCTGTCATGGACGTTAAAAGGTTATGAATTGTGAATTAAAAATGCATTTGTGTTTAGGCAAGGAATCACTCTTGTTATCTCCTTGGAAATGGAGGTATTGATTTTGGTCTCCGTATACGTTGGCCAACAATAACACCATCATCTTTATAAGCTTAACTGTCAGCCTTGATGGAGTCTCTGTCTTATTTGGCATTGTGGTTTATTTTATTTACTTATTCACTTATATTTGTTTAAGCATTGGCAAAAAAGCAAAAGTTATATATAGCAACTTCTACTATAAAATATACAACGAGTATAACACATATTGACAAGATACATGCATAATTACAAGGTGGATAAAACCAAGATTAATACAAACAAGTTGGTGATCTATCAATTACGAGAATCTATCCCTACAGTAAATGAAGTTTTGAACTACATGAGTGAAATTGATGTGAACCCTCGAAGTTGTCACCTTCAGTGGTGTAACTAACCTCTGGTATCGTAGTTGTCGCCTCTGGCAGAGTGGTTTTCACTTTGGGCAGTGTGGTTGTCACTTTGGGCAGTGTGGTTGTCACCATGGGCAGAGTGATTGTCACTTTGGGCAGTGTAGTCGTCACCATGACTTGATCCTGTTGATGTTTAGGATGTTGTATTTAGTAATCTGTTTATGTACTGTGTATTTGTTGGGTGTATTTTTATGTGTATCAAAGCAGGCCAAAATGGCCTGAGCTGTAATTACAGGATGAATAAATAAATTGAATTGAATTGACCATGGGCAGTGTGGTTATCACCTGGGGCATTGTATTTGTTGTATGATCATGAATGTCGGCCCGGGCAGTCACTTGTAGTCACAAGTTGTGCTGACTTCGCAAAAAAATGAAGGTAATGTAACAAGGGACCAATTATTTCAATAAATCACATAAGGCTTTCGTAGTATCACAACACACTACATATAAACTGTGATTAGGAAATTTGAAGAACTTTTCGTAGTTGCCGGCGTGAATGTTTTGCTGTTTCGATTTGCGAAAACATGCTTGTTTCCAGGTGCAAATCCGCCAACGACACATGAGTCGTCGCCACGTCATCAGCTGCCTTTATGCGAAAATGTTTAATGTTACGAAAGAAGTTTATTGCAAATCCATGCCCGAGGGCTAATTGAAAGAACATGATAACAACAGTAAACAGTAGAATGATAATAAGTGATGCTAATGCTACTTTATATATACATTTGTAGTTATTGTTTGGTATGATTTCTTTTCCGTGTGCAGTGGAGTATGAAATGGCCGACGTTTTGCGAGATATATGAATTGGGAGGTGTTAATAGAAATGCAGTTTTTTTGTAGGCTGGGAAGGTGAATAAAGCTGTGGAACATTTTGGTGACCATTTCAAATAACTGATCTCTTTCGGTGCTATAATGAGAGCAATGACAAATAAAGTGCATTTCATCTTCCACTGCGTTTCCTGTACAATATTTACATATTCTGTCGTTAACAGGTAATTGCTTGTATCTACCCTTTTATAGCCATATAGAGCTGAATAATGTATGTATGGTTTGGCACAGTTATATTAATTGGGTGAAAGCTTTGTCAGTTAATGAACTGTAAAAGCTTTCTCTTAACCCTATCTAGACGGAGGGGGGGGGGGG